CTGAGACCTTTGGGGCAAAGACTGGAGGCCTTTGAGAGATCATTTATCCTTTATGAGACAGAGGCCTATACTACAGGTGAGTCTGAATATACAGTCGAAGTAGCACGGACGGACTATGACGAACGAAGGGCAGAGTGTAAAGCAGAGATGAGACTCTGTAGGCGGTTAATAAAGACTTTGAAGGCCGGTACAGCAGGGGGAGCAAGTGTTTCAAGGAACATGAACAACAGCATGCCTGTTAATGTGTTGCCCAGATTGCCCCAGTTGAATTTACCAACGTTCGACGGAACCTTAACAGAGTACATTGCTTTCTGGGATCAGTTTAAAGCCCAGATAGATGACAGAGACGATTTGTCAGATGTCGTCAAATTACAATATTTACGTTCACAGCTCAAGGGTAAAGCCTTGGACTTGGTCCGGCATTACCAAACCACCGACACCAATTACCAACATGCCAAAGACCAATTAAAGGACACGTTTGGCAACACTGAGGAGATAAAGGTAGCTATACTTTATCGGTTGTTGGATCTAGAGGCTTGTCGCCATGACTGTCAGAGCCTAGAGAAGTTCCGAATCGACGTTATGAGTTTGATGAATAGTCTTAAAGATTTACATGATTGGGGTAAGTCGGAATGGTTCATCAGTCAGGTGATTCAGAGGAAACTGGCTGGCACTACAGTGCATGAGTTGCACTTAAAATATCGCACGAACCGGTTCACGATACAACAGATCGTTGAGGGGTTGGGAGAACTCGTGTCTCACCTGAGCATAGATCGGGGGGAGAAATTGCCGACCAAGGTGGAATCGATCAACCCCTCCAGATACTCGAGAGATAAAGCTAAACCACCTCCTACTAGGGTGGGCTCATATTATGCCCAGGACAAGTCCTCCACCCCCAGAGCCAAGGGAGAAGTCACTCAAGCGGCCAGTATGAGACGGTGTGTGTTTTGTGAAGAACATGCCAGTTCAGGGTGTTCGAGCTTCACAACCTATAACCAAAGGGTTTCAACGACTAAGGGAGTTGAGACTCTGCTTCAAGTGTTGTGGGGAACACTTTGCGAGAGACTGTGGCACCCAGCTCAGTGAGTGTCGAGTCTGTTGCAAAGGTAAGCACCATACTGCACTATGTCCCAATAATTTAAGGGAACCCCAAGCTAGTAGGGATATCTCTCAGGTAGAGATAGAAAGTGAGTCTGAGCCTAAAATGGTAGCCAGTGTGATTAGTGGGAGTGAAGTCTCTAATCTGAATGAGAATCACGGAGGTGCTGCCCTACCTACAGTCATGGCAAAGGTTGTGAATGGGCACAGGTCTGAAACAACCCGATTATTCTTTGACCCAGGAGCACAAGTATCCTTGATAACATAGAAGTTGGTGGCTAAATTAAAGTTGAAGGCCACAAAGAAAGATAGTATGATGTTGGGAGAGGCCGTAAGTCAGGTCCCACCCAAATCTTATGATGTGGTGGATGTCACAGTCAAATTAGGTGGACATTGCAGAGACATTACAGCCTTGGTGGTAGAGACATTACTCACGGCAATTACAGCGAGAGGTCTTGCTGCAGCAGCTAAGCGATTGAAAGACCTTGATGTGAAGCTGGCAGACCAGGGAATTACCACTGACACGGTCAGAAATGTAGGTATCCTGGTGGGAGCCAATCATATAGATGACTTCCTGTCTACACAATGGACGTTTAGGGAAGGAATCGGGTTATACAGATCCCCAGTAGGATACATCATAGGCGGCAGGATTCCACCTGAATTCCCTGCCACACCAGATAGAGGAGAAGCTGTCCCCATGATAGCTGGGGAAGTAGTGATAATAAATACCAGTATACACGATGAACCTCCAGGGAAGCTGAACCAGGTAGGGAGTGACGAACACTCGGTCACCTTGGGAAAACACTTTTACAGGGTACATAAATAGGGAGATAGATTGCCATTAAATCTAGGGAACCTCCTAACAGTGGGAGGAAAGGCTACCAAGGCATGTGGGCCACTGGGTGGGAAAGTACGGAGCCGCTCAGTCAAGGCTAGACATACGAAAGATGTTAAAGTTAAGGGAAAGGGTGCTAAGACCACCGGAACCAACAAGTTTACACCCTCAGAGGTCCACGCAGGGGAAACTGGACGGTTGAAGTTAGACCGGAGTCTGCTCGACGAGAGTGGCCGGATGGCACTCATGTCCAGGGTCCGCCGTGGGGGCTCGCGGAAGGTGAACTTGATTTAGACTTAGTACCTACCTTCGCTGACGGGAGGATGTGGAAATTTATTTAGTCCCTAAAGTTCCACAGGACAGATACGGTGTGCCCAGGGATTCCAGCATGGCCGTAATGGAATGGCTGAGCTGGGTGGCCCTTAAACCCACCCAAACAAAAAGCGTTCTCCCCGAACATAAACACATTTCTCTCCCCGAGTTGGCATCGATGAAGGTCCTATTTAATTTATAGATTTACCCTTCAGGGAAGGAGTAGGTAGTTTTACTGTTAGTATATTAATATTAGGTTTACTAAGGCAACTGTAGATAATAATAATGTAGACCTAAGACCTTAACATAGGTAGTAATAGGCCGATAATGTAGGCAAACACTAGGTTAAGTTAGCTAGGGAGAACTGGCAGCCCTAGCTTGAATGACGAGGCGCGGGTCTCAAAGACATAATAGCATCCTTCTTAAGACACCAACTGGACAAGATGTGCCATGTTCAGCAGACAGCGTCCCCCATGTGTCTTCACATTCGAGACCTGGGAAAATCTGGTAGAGGCACCTCGATGTACTGTAGATGACCTCCGTCAGGCCCATACAGTAAGACAAGACCTCCACTTTATCTCGTAGATTTCTGGCCAGTGTCTGGGGAGATTGTGAGTGAGTTGATCTGTAGGCCTTTTGTGCAGCTGGCAGTGCATGCCCAGTAAGTACCAGTGTCTCTTGTCAGTCTGGAAGCTAGTGTCCGTGTCTGCATAGTTGTACTAGGGGATACACACCCTCTTGGATATAGGAATTTCTGAGGTGCAGGCAGGTCACTAATAATGATTGAATATTGCAGGAATTAAGGCTCCCGGTTGCACGTGGTTTCTGAGGGGAAGTCCAAAGGGGCTAAGGCTAAGCTTAGGGAAGTTGAAGATCAGGATATATGCTGCAACACCAAGTTAGTCCTTTATACGTGCATGCAGGCGAGTTTCTTGCAACATCAATCATTTGTGAAAATCTGTCCTATAAGCCACTTGTGAGGCTGAGGTACCCACCTCAGAGCTCGGTGTCAATAGAGTTTGCCAGGGTAGGTGACTCACTTGGAGGCAGTCCACACAAATTTTCACATGAGGGGCACCTGGCACTCTACATGAGGGGCACCTGGCACTCTACATGAGGGGCACCTGGCACTCTACACGAGGGGCACCTGGCACTCTACACGAGGGGCACCTGTACATCGGCTTATTTTTTTTTTCCATTCCGCCGAAAATTCTTTAAGGATCTTTGGTGGGCAGTTGGTTACTGTACTCAGGTGGGAGTGTAGGCGTAGGCCAGAGGAGAGTAGGGTAGATCTAGGCCTGCGAATTAGATACACTCAGTTGAGCTCTAGCTCTAGGCTAGGTCCCCTAGGAGAGAGCACAATAGATACAATAGAAAATAGAAGCAACCATAAGAAAAACAAACAAGAACAAACAACAAATACAACAACAATTAACACCAGTAACAAAAACAACTGTGGAAAATACTGTATATATTTTCCAGAAATTCAGTATCTATATGTAAATAGATGGCCATACTGTATTAATAATATTTATGTCATAGAAAACGGAAAGCCTGCGTCTGTGAAGATGGGACTCGCCATCTTGGTTTTGAATTTGTGTTAGAAACGGTGAATGGGGAAGAATTTTTCGTGCTCTAGAGGTTAAAATTGTGCTGACACCTCTCAAATAGGAGGCGAAATTGGTGGATATACATTCCTGCATAACTTGAGATATCAGACGACTGGACAAGACAGCTCCAGGAACCTCAGATAAACTCTCTAGATTTGTGTATAATTCTGACCAGTGTTTTCATAAATTTAGTTAGTGAGGTTTTTCTGAGTATGATACAACTTAATATCCAGTCAAATTGGTGAGTGATATTAAGGTATATTTTCCTTCTGTTATGTAATTGTGTATATATATAACCATTTATTATTTTTAATATACAATCCACAAATTTATATATTTACCAGTATTCCTGGTGATGTATTTTTCATTTGATAATTAATAGGTTCCAGAGCAACTTGTGGATATGACAGTGGTAGGTATCGAAGGGGGACATTTTTTGCGACCTAGGTGTCCCAAATTCCTACTTGTCTAACTGATAAATAATAATTATCTTTGTTATCATTTACTGTTATGTACATAATGATACATTCAGATAAATGCAATTTTCCACAACAGACAAAAAACAAGCAAATAACAAATAAACAAAAAATAAGTAAAACAACATAAGAAACCAAATAGAAGCAAACAACAAACAAAAACAAATCACAAAAACAAGCAAACAACAAACAGAACACACAAAAACAAGCAAAGACAACAAACAAAAAAGCAAAAGACAAACAAAAACAAGCAAACAGCAATAAACAGAAACATAAAACAACAAGAAACAAATAACAAATAAGCAAAACAAACACAAACAAACACGCAACAAACAAAAACAAACACAAAAAAGTAAGAAAATCGCAAATAATAAAAACTCTTCTCCCGGCCGCCTTAAATAATAAATAATTAATAATAAAATAATAATAATAATAAAAACTACAACAACAAAATAGGAAATTCTTAATAGAATTTGGAAACAAAAACAGCTGAATTTTTCCGGATTACAAAACGAAGAAGTATCCCAAAATTTTCCATAAAACTAGCAAATTCTAAAATTGTTTTACACTTAACAATTTTATAAAAACGTTTTATTATTCGGTATTACGATTTAAGAAACAATCTTGAGGTATTTATTGTAAAATATAGAAAATCTCTGGTGTGTGAATCGGGGATAAGAGAGAGTGAATCACCTGGCAGCCGTCATGACTGTGTAATGTTTTGAGCTGACACAGCTGACACAGCTGACACGGGACATCCACGGCTCTTATTATACCCAAAAAGACAGCCAGAAGCGCCATGTCTCCCCAGAACCACGAGCAAGTTGTCTCCCAGGCGGTGGATAACAGGGTGAGGCTGACACTATGGCTGATACTGTGGCTGTCTGACACTGGCTGATACTGTGTCTGGCTGATACTGTGTCTGGCTGATACTGTGTCTGGCTGATACTGTGTCTGGCTGATACTGTGTGTGGTTGATACTGTGTGTGGTTGAAACTGGCTGACACTATGGCTGATACTGTGGCTGATACTGTGTCTGACACTATGGTTGATACTGTGTCTGGCTGATACTGTCTGACACTATGGTTGATACTGTGTCTGGCTGATACTGTGTGGTTGATACTGTGTGTGGTTGAAACTGGCTGACACTATGGCTGATACTATGACACTATGGCTGATACTGTGTCTGACACTATGGCTGATACTGTGTCTGACACTATGGCTGATACTGTGTCTGACACTATGGCTGATACTGTGTCTGACACTATGGCTGATACTGTGTCTGACACTATGGCTGATACTGTGTCTGTACACTATGGCTGATACTGTGTCTGACACTATGGCTGATACTGTGTCTGACACTATGGCTGATACTGTGTCTGACACTATGGCTGATACTGTGTCTGACACTATGGCTGATACTGTGTCTGACACTATGGCTGATACTGTGTCTGGCTGATACTGTGTCTGGCTGTTACACTCCAAGTATTGTAACCACTATTTCCTTCTTTTTAGAGCATAACAACTTTGGTCAGAGAGGTTAGGGTAATAATAGTGATCCTCCGGAATGCCTAATTTTAATTAAGTATATTCATAATACAACAAAAGCCAGAAATAATATACGAATTATCGTATATAAGTTAAGAATGCATGTTCTATATTATCCAAAATATATATAAGGCTTTCATAACAGATGATTAGGAGGAGATCCTAGATATAACATATATGTATATAGAGATTACTTTAATGTATGAAGTCTTGTTTCCCAATTGGAAGCAGTCAGAATAAAACAGAATATGTCCAGGCCGGATTATAAACCTTGGCCAGGAGTGTTCTCGTTGGCTGCTACTTCTTCTCTCCTCGTCCCTCAACCTTGAGCATACAGGTCAAGTGGGTCACGTGACGTGACTCACCAACACTCGGTATAGTTGAACATAAAGGGGGGTATAACCATCGAACATCACGGCTAACCATACACCGGCACACCGGGCGGCAGGCATGTTACTATACCTCCAATTAAACTTATGGCCATGTTACATTGTCAGCATAGTTGCTGATCCCTGTGTTATATAGCATAGCATATTAGTATCATCCATGTGCTTTAGATAGGAGATCCCTTGTAGGCCTGTGACTTTGTGTGATGTCACAGGATGCACATGTGTAGGCTCGTACCTCTGCCTCCCTCTCACTCGGCGGCAGACCATCCAGACAAGAACACGGCAAGGCTGGGCTCCATTCCTCATCAGCTCAGTCTGACAATATATGTTACCATCCAACAAGTGTGTCTACCTTCAACCCTCGATATCTCCATTTAAGAACCCCTACGATAACATAAATTATAATAATTGTTAATAAGAATTAGCCTTAATAACACAAGGACGTTCATTTCCAATTTAGCTATTAAAGGAAATAACCGCAATGTAATATTAAAGAAAGGTTAACTATAGGGGCACGACATTGGCTGATACTGTGTCTGGCTGATATTGTGTCTGGCTGATACTGTGTCTGGCTGATACTGTGTCTGGCTGATACTGTGTCTGGCTGATACTGTGTCTGGCTGATACTGTGTCTGGCTGATACTGTGTCTGGCTGATACTGTGTCTGGCTGATACTGTGTCTGGCTGATACTGTGTCTGGCTGATACTGTGTCTGGCTGATACTGTGTCTGGCTGATACTGTGTCTGGCTGATACTGTGTCTGGCTGATACTGTGTCTGGCTGATACTGTGTCTGGCTGATACTGTGTCTGGCTGATACTGTGTCTGGCTGATACTGTGTCTGGCTGATACTGTGTGGCTGATATTGTGTCTGGCTGATACTGTGTGTGGTTGAAACTGTGGCTGACACTATGACTGATACTGTGTCTGACACTATGGCTGATACTGTGTCTGGCTGATACTGTGTCTGGCTGATACTGTATCTGGCTGATACTGTCTGGCTGATATTGTGTCTGGCTGATATTGTGTCTGGCTGATACTGTGTGTGGTTGAAACTGTGGCTGACACTATGGCTGATACTGTGTCTGGCTGATACTGTGTGTGGTTGAAACTGTGGCTGACACTGTGGCTGATACTGTGTCTGACACTGTGGCTGATACTGTGTCTGGAACTGTGGCTGACACTATGGCTGATACTGTGTGTGGTTGAAACTGTGGCTGACACTATGGCTGATACTATGTGGAGCTGAAACTGTCTGGCTGACACTATGGCTGATACTGTGTCTGGCTGACACTATCGATGATACTGTGTGTGGTTGACACTATGGCTGATACTGTGTGTGGTTGACACTGTGTTTGGCTGACACTATGGCTGAAACTGTGTCTGGCTGACACTATGGCTGAAACTGTGTCTGGCTGCCACTATGGCTGATACTGTATCTGGTTGACACTGGCAGACAGTGTGTGTGGCTGAAAGTGTGTCTGGCTGACACTATGGCTGAAACTGTGTCTGGCTGACACTATGGCTGAAGCTGTGTCTAGCTGACACTATGGCTGATACTGTGTCTGGTTGACACTGGCTGACACTGTCTGGCTGACACTGACACTATGGATGATACTGTGTGGCTGAAACTGTGTCTGGCTGACACTATGGCTGAAACTGTGTCTGGCTGACACTATGGCTGAAACTGTGTCTGGCTGACACTATGGCTGAAACTGTGTCTGGCTGACACTATGGCTGAAACTGTGTCTGGCTGACACTATGGCTGAAACTGTGTCTGGCTGACACTATGGCTGAAACTGTGTCTGGCTGACACTATGGCTGGTACTGTGTGTAGTTGATAGTTGACACTTGCCGACATAGCTGTGGCTGATACTGTGTGGCTGAAACTGTGTTTGGTTGACACTGTTACTGATGTAGCTGTGGCTAATGTAGCTGGCTGACACTGTATGGCTGATATTGTGTGTGGTTGACACTGTTGCTGATGTAGCTGGCTGATACTGTGTGTGCTGATGTAGCTGGTTGACAGTTTGTGTGGCTGACATAGCTGGCTGACAATGTATGGCTGATATTGTTTGTGGTTGACAATGTTGCTGATGTAGCTGTGGCTGATACTGTGTGTGGCTGATGTAGCTGGCTGATACTGTGGCTGACATAGCTGACTGACACTATGGTTGATACTGTGTGTGATTGACACTGTGGCTGATGTAGATGAGGCTGATACTGTGTGTGGCTGATTTAGATGTGGCTGATGTAACTGTGGCTGATACTGTGTGGCTGATACTGTGTGTGGCTGATGTAGCTGTGGTTGATACTGTGTGGCTGATTATGGGTGGCTGATGTAGCTGTGGCTGATTATGGGTGGCTGATACTGTGTGTGGCTAATACTGTGTGTGGCTGATGTAGCTGTGGCTTATACTGTGTGGCTGATATAGCTGTGGCTGATACTGTGTCTGATGTAGCTGTGGTTGATACTGTGTCTGATATAGCTGTGGCTGATACTGTGTGGCTGATGTAGCTGTGGCTGATACTGTGTATAGCTGATGTAACTGTGGCTGATACTGTGTGTGGCTAATGTAGCTGTAGCTGATACTGTGTGTGGTTAATATAGCTGTGGCTGATACTGTGTGGCTGATGTAGCTGTGGCTTATACTGTGTGGCTGATGTAGCTGTGGCTTATACTGTGTGGCTGATGTAGCTGTGGCTGATACTGTGTGGCTGATGTAGCTGTGGCTGATACTGTGTGGCAGTTGTAGCTGTGGCTGATGCAGCTGTGGCTGATGCTATCTGATGTAGCTGTGGCTGATACTGTGTCTGATGTAGCTGTGGCTAATGCTGTGTCTGATGTAGCTGTGGCTAATGCTGTGTCTGATGTAGCTGTGGCTAATGATGTGTCTGATGTAGCTGTGGCTGTTACTGTGTCTGATGTAGCTGTGGCTGTTACTGTGTCTGATCTAGCTGTGGCTGATTCTGTGTCTGATGTAGCTGTGGCTGTTACTGTGTCTGATGTAGCTGTGGCTGTTACTGTGTCTGATGCAGCTGTGGCTGATACTGTGTCTGATGTAGCTGTGGCTAATGCTGTGTCTGATGTAGCTGTGGCAAATTTGCTTGTGCTGATGTAGCTGTGGCTAATGATGTGTCTGAAGTAGCTGTGGCTGATACTGTGTCTGATGTAGCTGTGGCTGTTACTGTCTGATGTAGCTGTGGCTGATACTGTGGCGGATGTAGCTGTGGCTGATGTAGCTGTGGCTGATGCTGTCTGATGTAGCTGTGGCTGATGCTGTATGTGGCTGACATAACTCTGGCTGTTTGTGTTTCCTTGCCTTTTTGTGTTTCTTGTTCATTTGATTTTTCCAGCTCTGGAAAATTTTATGTATATTAATGTAAAACTATAAAATTCTGTTTGATTTTTTGTGTCGGTAAACAAGAGCCGTTGATGTTAATTTTTTAATTCTGTATGTTACAAAATACTTTTGCTTATTTCAGAATCATGTAGTTTGTTATTACTATATTTGTGTTACAATGGTACATGTTCAGTCGGTCTGTTTTTCAGTATCAAAATGCAGAGAAGACGAAGGCAGACGTCATGACGGCCCTTCATAATTACCGAGGACTGTCTCCGAGGCTTGATAAATTTGGTAAGATGAGCTTGCCGTCTTTGTGTGAACTGTCTCTTTTATTTTTATTTTGAGTGCTTCATGACCAGTGCAGAATTAACGTAATTAAGCCACATTATTGTCAGATATAATTATTTGATGATGATTGTGGTGATAAATATCCTCTAAGAATTTTTAGTTTTTAAATTAACCCCCAAAAATCATCTTAACACAGTTCATTATATCACTCGTACTGTAAATTGACTTGTCTTTATTTCCATACACATGCAGCATTATTATTTGCTTTATTAATTTATTTTAATAGGGACCCAAATAAATGCACACGTCTTAAAGGGGAATTTTAAGATGCATTTAGTGGTGGTGAAGTTAGAGTAATTAGTTCATGCCCTGTTAACAACAGACTAGTTACTGTAACCGTTTAGGAATGAGTTCTAAACCACAGAACAGGTGTGGTTTAAATCCATGGCAAGTAAATCATAAAACTTCAGGCCAGTGCATAAGCCGCTGGGCCATAGTTTGTTTGCAATCACGTTGTTATGATTTCATGAGTAACAAGTTATACATTAGGAAAGAAACTTGCATCGCTACTACTTGCCACACTTGAGAACAAATGTCTTCTTGGCACACACACAGCCAGACTTTGTCGTGTGTGTTCCCAGTATGATGAAAGACACATAGCAGCCAGGTTGGCACACTGCAGGAGAGGCAAGTGTTGGGTTAGACTAGGAACTTTACCATACCCAGTACTTCAGTCGAGACTCTCCCGCGGTAGGGAGCCAAGGCCGGGTCACCTACTGGAAAAGACACGGGCCAGGACATTACCGGTGAACCTCAGACAGACAGATACCCAGTGTGTTGTCTTCAACGAGATATCATGTGGCGGTTATTTTTGAGCGCTGCATTGTACAGGTAACACAATCTCCTAAAAGGCATAAAGTGAAAAGGATTTCTGTGTCATGAAGACTAGAAAGACATTAACTTATACACAAAACTGGCTCTTCTGCATTGGATTGATAGTGGTATGAAGTAAGGTTAAGTGCTGTGTGTGAATACTCTCACTGTTGCTAGTGTTCAGTTGACCTTTTAGTTTTAGGTAGAATTAAAAGCAGAATTTAAAGTTTTTTTTTTGCTCAGGGGAAATTCATTAAACCTTTTTCTTCAAACACACTGTAGCTGGTATTAATTTTGTGCCACAAACTGGTTTCTGAAAATTCAGAGGACTTTATGGTTCTTTAAATATCTCTAGTGGCATAAAAATTGTAAAAGATGTGACAAGCGTTTGTCCTGTAATGGTAAAAACATTTAAAAGATAAAATGTAATAAGCTTTGTTTGGATTTTTAACCCAGAGGGTTAGCCACCCAGGATAACCCAAGAAAGTCAGTGCATCATTGAGGACTGTCTTGTCTTATTTCCACTGGGGGTCCTTCAGTCTTCCCCAGGATGCTACCCACACCAGTTGATTATCACTCAGATACCTACTTATTGCAAAGTGATGTACCTTTACCTTTGATGAGTTTCAGTAATCTTTCTACTCCCAGAGCCTGGCCATGGACCAGGCACAGCAGGGACAGCAGGTGCAAGGAAACATGCCCAATATATTCCCCCATGTCAGGGATTGAACCACGGACACTCAGTATGTGAGGCGAGAGCATTGCTAACCAAGCCTTGGTAGTCCTTCTCTTAAGCCATCATGCGAACAGACCTGTTAGCCTTTATTGGAAAGTATCCCAGTTATTATTTTATGGGGGTGATTAGGGAGGGGGAAGCAAGGAGATGATTAAACTATACTGTTCTCTATTATAAACACTGACAGTGCACCTGTGGGTCTTCCATAATACTTTAGCATTTAATAGAGAACTACTGTATATTGAATTAAAAAACAGCTTTTGTGTGAGGGTGACTTACATTCTCTCTACTTCAATTGACTTAGGAAGATTGAAAATTAAGACTTCAAGGTGTAGGTTTGCTTTTTTTGCTTTAAGCTTGTAGAAAATAATGAAAAGTAATGAAAAACAGTAAAATACAAAGAAATACTTTAAAATTATGCAATGCAGTACAGTATTTTGTTGAATTATTGAGTATTGGGACTAATGTTTGGCCTAATTTGATCAGTATGTTATTTTTGGTTGTTACTATTAGCTATGCATTAAATTTTCTTTGTATAATCATTGCATGTTATTTCCCTTAGTGATTTTCTAATTTTTTTGGTTTAACTTGATTAAGGGTTATGTTTTTGGCTGTTATTTAAGCATGTTATTTATAAATTAGGATCTGCAAATTCTGGTAATGAATTATGCTGATTTTTTTTTTTTCCAGATGCTGTTTCCTGTATTTATGTACTAAGATATTCTCTTGATAAATTATTCCTGTCTCAAGCATATATACAGTATGGCAGAACTTAATAAACTCTTGTTTAGTCAATATGAAGTGTTACCCATTTTTTTTTACCTCTTGTATTTTTAGTTTTTAATGATGGGCACGATCGGGAGTTGTTGAACCTAGATGGGACGATCCCAGTCCGTTACAAAGGTGAGGGAGCATAGTAGCAACACCACTGACATTCACATGGCTTGAGGGTTGGCAGTGTACCATCCTTGGTTTGAGAAGTACAATTTGTTGCATTTTGAGAAGTTTGAGCTGGCTATCTAGCTTATTCAAAGGGTGTGCGAGAGTGTAGTCATGAGCAAACTTCTCAAGCCTCAAGATGGACTGTCATCTTGTAAGTGGTTTATCAGCATCATTTCAAGGAAGCAGGATATTTGTTTAGCTCCTCACCCATGGACCTTTCAATTAGTTTTGATGTGTTTCCTTCAAATGATGTCCTAGTTTCATAGATAAGTACTGTATGTTTTGACATTTCAAGTTTAAAGGTACTTCCTCACAGCTTGTTCATTTATGTTGTGCATCAGAAAACATTCAGTACTTTATGGATTAGCAGAGTTCAAAGTTAGCACATAATACTTAGAATGCTAATCGACCTCTTGTATTTCATTTATCGTTTTAGTAACTCCATATCAGTTACTAATAATCGAAGGCATTCTGATATTCTTGCTCCCTGAACAAAGCATTGTGTGTCCTGGCATTACCAAATCAACCCTCACTGTATTTTTTCTTTTTTCTTTGCAAGTATTCCGCAGTGGCACTTCACGCTACTTACTGTGTCTTGAAGGCACGATACCTGTTACGTATAAAGGTATGGTGTGGGGTGTGGCTATTTAGTTAACTTGAAGCAAGCAATAATGAACAGTATTGATCATATTTAGAGTCCATATAGACAGTCCCTCTGGAGTGTTCAGCTAGATGTGTTCATTTTAAAGAAAGAACCGAGAGCAGTCAAAATATTTCTAGTCTGTGGGGCACCTTTGTGGCACTAAGGGTACCTTTTTTTTTTGTTGAAAATTCTTGAAAATAGCGAAGTTGAAAATTGCATGGGTCCCCCACCCTTTGATCCCCATAATACTGCTGCTCTCCTACACCACTGTTCACCTCTACAAAGCTCTCTTGCTATCCTCTAGCCTTTGCATTTTTGATATTAAATCCCTGATACATTGCATGCATAATGTATTTGATCGATGTTTTAGCATTCACGATAAATACAACCTTGCTAAGGTAATTATTTTTAATAGTTGGGTGTAATTATGGTTTATATGGGTTCAGTTTACAGTAAACAGTGTTGTACGTAAAGATCTGCATTAATAACACTTGTAGATGAATGGTTCACAGAGCCGACACGTTGATAAATTAGACACATGTGCAACTCTTGGGTATCTTTATTAAGGAAACATTTTGCCACACAGTGGCTTATCCCGTCCATACACAGGGGAAACTTGAAGAAAAGGAGGCGAATGAGGTAAACAGTCCCCAACCTTGAGTCTTTTAAAA